AATATCTAATATGTAAAAATGTCTAATAATTGTATAATATTTTAAGAATAGTTGTTTTTTGTTTTTTTTTAGAGATAAGGTCTCACTCTGTCACCTAGGCAAACAGCCAAAAAGTGAAAGTAATCCCAGTATCCATTGACAGATGAACAGATAAGCATTCTGAGAAATATTTTTAAGGTTGAATAATATTTCATTGTACGTATATACTACATTTTGGAGTGCAGTGGCCTGATCATAGCTCATTGTAACCTCTAACTCCTGGGTTCAAGCGATCCTCCTATCTCAGCCTCCCAAGGAGCTGGGACTACAGGCATATGACACCATGTCTGGCTAATTTTAAAATTTTTTGTAGAGACAGGGTCTCACTATTTTTCCCAGGCTGGTCTCAAACTCATGGCCTGAAGTAATCCTCCTGCCTTGGCCTCCCAAAAAGTGTTGGGATTATAGGTGTAAGCCACTGTGCCAGGCCTTTAAAAACAGTTTTTTTAAAATATAAAAATAATGTGAGCTCACTTCAAATAAATTAAAAATTGCAGTGAAGGTAAAAGTAGAAAGTAAAAAGAAGTAATCCCACTACCCAGAAATTATTCACTATTAATGGTTTATAATATGCATATATCCATTAAGAACTTTGCCCTATGTTTTTACATATGCATGTATTTATTTATATTTTAGTTTAGCTTATATATTAAACTTAAGTACTGATGCTTATAAAGCACATAAAAGAGACACTAGATTCCCCTATCCCTCCCACTTTCTGTCTTCAAAGGTTTTTTTTCTTTTTTAGATAAAAAAGGATTTCTTACTTGGAGCAGGCAGCCCACCACTGGATCGTTTATATTTGCTCTCCTTTAAAATGGATGTGATTTTGTATAAGTGACGGAAACCTGTTTTGCATTCAGAGGCAAAAATAAACTCAATTTCATCTTCCTGACTTTGGGGAAAAACATGAAAGATGTCATGGATCTGTAAAATGAATAATTTAATTTACTATATGCATTAATGAAAATACTACACAAACAATTCAATTAAATTAAAGAAAGACGAATTACATGACAAACATACTTTCAAATATAAATGTCAGTGCTATGTGTATGGTATATTTATAGTAATAAATTTTGCCTGGGCCTTTCATATTTATTTTACCTTAGTCAAAGACTTCATCCATTAAGAAATAAATGTTTCCAAATGGAGGAAAAAAGAAAAATACGACCAAAAGCTTTTTCTCATTCAACATCTCTGTAATCCTTGAAACATGGCATGTTTGTTCAATGATATAAATCTTATTACAAAAACGATGAGGAAAAAAATTTTTTACTTTTGTTTTCCAAAGAGAAATTTTCTAACAGTTGAAGGGAAAACAGATGTCCATCTGTTGTAGGTGAATCATATGAAGCCTATATTCAGTTAGGAAGTGAGCTGGCTTTATTTATTTTGTATCTTGTTTAAGTTTCTCTGCTAAACTGGAAAATGCAAAATTCGATTAAAAACTGATATATTTTGGTATAGTTTGCCAACTTAAAAAAGAAAATCTTTTCTAGACTGGATTCTTGACACCCTCTCACAGGCACTGATGAGGCTGTGTATTTGATACCTGATATGTCCAGGAACAAATCTGCAGCCAAGGAGATGTCATTTCAATGGCATCTACTTTCTATCTACAAACCATTCCATTCTGGAATCATCACTCCAACTTGAAATGTTCACATTAAGGAAATAATATTCATGGTTCCTTTGAACTTAAAAAAATGCATTTTGATAATGTGCTATCAAAGTCCATTTGGTTTAGCATTCTGAGAAAACATTTAATCAAATACAGGAAAAAATGCATACATTTATCCAGATGTCTGTTGTTTCTTCGTAGATAATCAGTGGTGTCACTGAGTCAGGCACTGATTCAGTAAGTCTTTGCCTTTCCATGGCATCATCTTCTACTGGGATAAATAATTCAGGTGAAATCAACACTATCTGTAGGCGAGTTTGGGAGCGATCTAGTAGGATGGACCAAGCACTATACAAATAAAAGAGAAGCACCAGAAATAAAGCAAGCTCTCAGAGAATGAATGATCCTCTATTCTCTCTTGTGGCACCTATCAATTATTTCTATAATCACAATGAAAGAACTGCTTTAGTATATGTTATCACTTACAAATAGCTAATTAAAAATATTCCTTTTTTTTTTTTTATTTAAAAAAATTTTTTTGGAGACAGTCTTGCCCTGTTGCCCCGGCTAGAGTACAGTGGCGTGATCATAGCTCACTGCAACCTCAAAGCCCTGTCCTCGAGCAATCCTCCTGCCTCAGCCTCCCAGAATGCTAGGATTACAGGCAAGAGCCACTGTGCCTGGCCTTCCATACTTATTTTTAGAAGTTAAGCTTGAATAGAGTTTTTAAAAAGTAGTTTTCTTTAAATTTCCAAAACCATATTTGGTCTTTGAAAGTGTTTTCTTCCTTTAGTATCAACAAATGCCATTCTTGTTGAAACTCCTGTTGTCTACGTTAGATAACAGAAAGTATTTTTAATCATCCTCATATAAGCCTCTACGAACATTTCTGCTTAACTTATACAATAAAAAAAAACACAAATTTTTTGTGAGCCTTAAAGTCATACAATTTAATCACAAATAACACTGTGAACCACATAACCTGGCTGAGTAAGAAATAAAATGCAAGGCACCTGTGCTTATGAAATTACAAGTCCACTTAGTTCTAGAAAAATCTCTTACGTAGAAAATGACTATTCTGCAATTTACCTGTGAAGGTAGCTCCAACTGTAAGGCAAACCTGATAGCCTAAGATATTTCTAAAGCCCTTGATCTTAAATTAGCTGTAAAGAAGTGACGATTTAACATACGCACTATTTTCCCTCTGGAGTCCATCCAGCTCTGGCAATATATTCAACTCCTTCAAATAGAACCTCAAAAGGTTGAATTAGTTCCTTATCTACAACATCCATAATCTATTAAAAAAGAAAAAAAGGAATCTAGTTATAGAAAATTTAGATAAATAATTACCTCACTAGCCTACTTAAATCATTATTTGTAACCGCTGAATACTCTTTCAGACTTAGGTATTTAAGAAGGCACAAAGGATACAGCAAAACCAGCAGTAAGTTGTGGGTTACTTTTACTGGCGTTTTTAATGCCTAAAAAAGTTCTAACCACAAGAATTAACACAGTCTAAAAGTCTTTTCCTATGAGTTTATACTAATAGAAACCTTAATAATAACTGGTAAAAATCAAGTTTTAATTATTTTAAACTCTAGTATCTAAGAAAAACAGTCCCTAGTTCCCTGTATTTTAGCCTAAAATATATTTATGCAATATATTAATGGAATAGCCCTGGGTAAGCAAACTTTTTTCCTTTAAAAATCTAGCAGACACAATTAAAAAAATGAAATGTTTAAAATGCACAAAGGATCTGAATAGACAGTCTTCCAAAGAAGATACACAAATGGCTAATAAACACAGGAAAAGACGCTCAACATCATTAGCCATCAGGGAAATAAAAATCAAAACCACAATGAGATAGCACATCAAACTTACTAGGATGGCTATAATAAATAAGATGGACAATAACAAGTGTTGGTGATAATGTAGAAAGATTAGAGACCTCATAAGCTGCTGGTGGGAATATAAAATAGCGCAGCCACTTTGGAAAACAATCTGGCAGTTCCACAAAAGGTTAAAAACAGAGGTTATCATGCGACCCATACTCCTAGGTATACCCTCCAGAGAAATGAAAATGTAAGTCCACACAGAAGCTTGTACACACATATTCATGGCAGCATTATTCATAATAGCCAAAAAGTAGAAGCAACCCAAATGTCCATCAGCTGATAAGTGGATAAATAAAATGTAGCATATCTATATAATTATTTGGCAATAAAAATAAATGAAGTACTAATACATGGTGCAACACAGATGGACTTTGAAAACATTCATCTAAGTGAAAGAGGCCAGACTATATATTGTATGATTCCACTTATATGAAATGTCCAGAATAGGCAAATCTATAGAGACAGAAAGTAGATTAGTGGTGCATAGGGATGGGGGTATGAGGAGATGGGAAGATGATGGCTAAGCGTTATGGGTTTTTTTCTTTTGAGGTGATGACAATGGTTCTAAAATTGACTGTGGTGTGGTTGTACAACTCTGTGAATATACTAAAAGCCACTGAATTTTAAACTTTAAATGAGTGAATTGTATGTAAATTATGTCTCAGTAAAGCTGTTTTAAAAAAGTCTAGCAGAGAAGACTGCTTTTTAATTAATCTTGTGTGCATTTGGTTGTCCAAATGGAAAATAGCAGTACAAAATAATTGTGGGATATTTAATCCACCATAGACACCTACCCAACACAGAAGGTAACTAACTCACCAGTTCAATAACCACCTTTTTCTTTTTTTTTAGGAAAACCTATTGGAAAGGAGTCATAAATATGCACATATCTCATACTCCTATCTTGAGAACCAGCAGGAAATTTTGCAAGCAGAAAATTAGGTCAACCTAAAATTATGATCTACAGATAACTCAGCAAGTTCAACAAGCCCAAAAATAAAAGAGCATATCAAAGACCCCCACTAGACTTACTAGACTAGTCAAAAGACACAGAAAGTCAACTCAACATTTTATACTTACCCTTCCTTCGGCGTCAATGATTATTTCTGACATCTTAAAAGTGACTTTAGGATTTGCTGTGCCTTTAGAACGAAACATAAAGGAATAGTAATGCATATCCAAAATTACTCAAACTAATTTTGCCAGATCAGTCCTCTTTACTTTAGTTAAGGCAGCAATATTGTACATAGTTAAGGGCTTACTGCACTTGAATCTCAGAGCCCCATCTCAAATTCACACTTTTTAATAAAGGTATCAAAAAATAAGAGGCTGAAAAACATGAAGAGTCAATATGAAATAAGGAAGTGAAATTTTGTACATTTTTACAATTAAAATACTATAAACAGCAAAATGAAAGAAAAATTACTAATTTATTATGAATAAAATCACTTAAAAATCTTTACTTGCTAGAAAAGACACCTTATTCATTTCTTGAAGTAACTACTTTCACGGACATCCCCACTTTTGAAAATAATTAAAAAGGATCAGCCTGTAATTAAAAATCTGTTTCAGTGACACTTTATGAACAAACTATCCTTACTCAGGCTGTAAATGACCAATGTTGTCTTTATCTTTGGATGACAGCCCAAAGACTCTTATTTGGAAGGAGGAAATGAATGAATATAAATGCCAGTGGAGTACAGTACCTGTTTTAGGATAACGGAATGAATCTGCCCTCCTTGTTTCCAACATAGGGGATGTAACATGAATAATTTCCACCTCAGATTCATCATTTTCTTCATATAGAATTCTAAGAATTTTACTGCCACTGGGAGCTTAAAAAGAATTTAAACATTGAAAATGTAGAAGAATTATCCCACAGAGTAATCGTAACTGACCATTTCCTCTAGTATTAGATTTCTCATAGTGAAAAATAATTTATGTATAAACTATGCTGCCTTTTATGTATGAAAATATCAGTAGTCTTTGCAGTAGCAAGGTAAGTTACTGCTAAGCCACTCTTACTGGTTAAAGGTTATTCCTTTTGGAGGAAATACATACATACACACATATATATATTTACTTAGTTACTTACTGTTTATTTATGTATTTATCTGAGACAGAGTCTTGCCCTATCACCCAGGCTGGAGTGCAGTGGCTCAATCACAGCTTACTGTAACCCCAAACTTGTGGGCTCAAGTGATCCTCCTGCTTTAGCCTCCCACGTAGCTAGGACTACAAATGTGTGCTACCATGCTCAGCTAATTTTTTTATTTATTTGTAGAGATGGGGGTCTCACCATGTTACTCAAATTTGTCTCAAACTTCTGGCCTCAAGCCATCTTATTGCTTTAGCCTCCTAAAGTGCTGGGATTACAGGCGTGAGCCACGGTGC